GTTCTCGATGACTTCGAGGTGTCACTGTTCCCGCTCAAGATACAGTTGGAGCGCGAGCTTGGTCAAAGAGTGTTCGAGTATATCTTTCCGAATGTTGGCTCCAATGCGTTCGAAGGTGGTTTCTCACCTTTCATGATTAAGAACATGAAACCTGTGGATGCCTCGGAATCGGAAGAAGACGATGATAACCCGTCTCCGCCTCCAAGCGCGCAGGACACAAGCGACATGTCAACCGACGATCTTTCAGGAACAAAAGGCCCCGGCGCTATTGAGCTCAGATTGCAGCCCACGCTTTCGCTGGCAGACGAAACGAGACCTCGTTCGCATCAAAGTTCGCATAATCTCAAGGGTCTTGGCATGACGTCGATTCACAAGAAAGAGCAGAAGGACAGCAACCGTCTGGGAGTATCCCAATCGAACCGTCCAGCGACGAGTGCTAGTTCATTGAGCAAGAAGAAGTCAGTTGAGAGTATGCGAATGCTCTCCAGACAACCTACAGATAAGTCATTCGCCAATGGCTCGACCGCCAATGTCGGGGAAGACAAAGGCAAGAAATTTACCCTGATTCCGAACAAAAGCGGTAAATCCAAGGAGGCGCAAGACGATCTATCTCAGATGATGTCTCGCGCATCTAGCTATATGACCCTTGCTCATGTAAAGGTGCACGATGTCGTGCTTTGTTTGAGTTACAAAGGCAAAGGGGAGCACAACCTCGAGGACATCCATGACTTTGTCTTCCGACTTCCTGTTCTGGAATATCGGAACAAGACTTGGTCCAACTTGGATTTGGCTCTGCGACTGAAGAAGGACGTCATCAAGGCTCTGATCTCTCATGCACCTGCGATACTTGGCAACAAATTCTCTCATCATCGACCTTCAAAGCAACAACTGAAACGCTATCGCGAGCTTGCCAATTCATCTCAGCTCCTTCAGAACCCGGACAGTGCGTCAAATACGGGCAAACCCCAGAGCCTAGCGAGTTACGACTCCAACAGCGAATATTCGGAGTCGACATCTCAACGCTCAATCCACTCGGGAACCTCCCCACTCGCGCGATCGCATTCCTTAGGCTCAAGTATGCTCAGCGTCCAGGATCAAGGCACACCATTCGACTCACGCTCTGCGAGTGAAGTTGATGTCGATGCTCGCTGGGAGGTATGTTCTGCAATGTCGTGCGAATCTAGAGAACAGTTAGGAACTAACCACTCCCATAGCAATCTCGCAGGATCGTCAATCCTCCCAACCGCCCAATGACCTCGGGCCAAGCTATTGCAAGAGCTGAGACCAAGATTTGGGATGGGCCCGATGAGAGGTACATACCAAGAAGTTAGCGTCAAGGGAGACTCATCGCTAATAGATTAATGCAGTCACAAGATGACCATCCGAAGCCTTGGGCGAAAGTTGCTGCCATCGCGAAAATAACAGCCTATCGAAAGCCCAGCTCGCTCCAACAGGCCAGCCACGAGCTGTACGACCTCCACTCCAACCACCATCTCCTCTTTCCCCAACCTGCCCTCTCCTCAATCCGAATAGTCTCTCCTCCTTGCCATCCTCGTTTTCAATATCCGGAATCCCATTCGAGCGTCTTGTGCGATGGTGCACCCTTGTGCAGTGGATTGTATTTGGGCGTCAGATACCTGATCCATTTTCTGTTCTTCTCCTGCAAGATAGGCTTTGATATATCGGGTTGTTCGTGCACCCGTCATTTTTTCCCTGTCAATGTTCTAATTTCCTCGACATTTACACCGTTTATGTCCTCCGCCTTCAGCGCTGTATAGTTCTCTTCTTCCCCTGCCTTGTTTTCTCTTTTTCTTTTCATATGGGAATACGGCGATGGAGAGGGATTAGATCGAGTTGGTTGCATTTCATGGTGCTGTCGTTATACTTCTGATAGTACATACTTCAGGCGCCCTGTTGGGAGTACCTTGCTCGTTTTTGGATACCACGAATGGATAGATGGATAATAGGAATAGCATTGTTTTCTTCGAAGGCGGCTTCTTACAGGTAGCTTGGCAAAGGAGATGACAGACTTGATGATACTACACAAGGTGATATTGTTACAGAAGACATTGAGACGCGCACTGAAGCTTAAGAGAGCGTTGATACAATTTGTGGAAAAGCAAGAAGAAAATCATACCGAAACAACCGCTGGGGTATCTATGTACATCACACATCTCGCCGTAGATTCTGATTGTGTTTGAATAAAGAAAAAATGCTGTCCGATTTTCCCGTGTCCCCGACTTGACGGTTCTCTCCCAACGCCAGATATAGTTCATAGTAGCATAACGACCGTAAAACCGATTAACCTGCTCCAATTGGATCGAAGAGATTGTTGACAGGATGATCACACGTTCGAGTGACCATCAGACGGAGTAGTCGGCGACGACTGCTTTTCCCGCACCCAGGGCAAGAAACTGGGTAGGTGGTCCTGGACAGATTCCAGACGGGTCCGTGCCGTCGGGGCACCGACGACATCAGTGTATGTTGGCACGCCTCCCTGCCCGCGATTCTCCGTCCAGGCTTCCTTCTCGCGGCGAAGGTCGCTTTTCACCCAGGGGATGGTGATGAGGGTCCAGACGCCGGCCCAAGCGAAGGGGAGGGACCAGCCCAGCTATTTGAATGTTAGTAATTGTCTTATCTTGGTCTCTTTTGGGATGTAATATGGGGACTGACCGTGTAGGCGACGGGTGTCGAGGTAGTGAAGATAATGGCGGTAATGGCAGCTGCACAGACGATTGAACCTCCGGCCCAGAACATGTTCATTTCGAACAGCATGCGCCGGAAGTACGGGCTCGAGAGGTATCGGGTGCGCAGTGCGTATCGGTAAATCTGGCCGCCGCCTCCGTCGACGGCAACGACATCTTCGATGAGGACATAGAGGGCTGTGGGCATCACGGAGCCCTTTGGTGTGGAAGATATTCGAAAGGGGGCTTTGACTCCACACATGCGGAGAATATCGAGGGTAAGGTAGACGCCGCCAAAGTAGAACATCACGGTGGGAAGGACCATGGCGACGAGGCGTACTGTTCAATTCCCGCGGATAATCAGCAAGGCGGAGGGCGATTGGATGAAACTCGAGCATGGAGACATACCATATGGTTCCGTTTGCACCGTACCACTGACCAGACTGTTTAGCATCCTAACTCCGACGACGGCTCGCAGACTTGCGTTACTTACACAATGAGCTCGACTGCCAGAATCAACCAGACAATAGTGAAATTGATATGGAAGAAATCCAGCTACCGCCGAATATCAGTACTCGTCATCACATGCTTAATATCCTTTCCGAGCCTACCCATGATTTCCTTGCGTTCAATGGTCGAGACCGCGAATCTTTCCGTATCAGGTGATAGAGACGGTAGAAGTATTCGAAGACGGAGACACCTCCAAGGGACGCAGTGACGATGGAGAAGACTATCCGTCCATTGTGGTGAGTGATGAGCAGCCCGTCCAAGTCCATAGCACATGCAATAAGAACTCGGTTACATACCCACATTATGCGACAAGTCCGTGGCGTACCACAGAGCCCAGTAGAGCACCAGAGGTTGGGCCAATGTATCGAGGATAAACACTGTCCAAAAAAAGGCGATAGATTTCTTTCTGGTATGCAATGAATAAGGCAGTGGGGGAGGCTCTAGGGGCACCGTGGTGGAAGTTCCTTCCTCCATCAGTCCAGAGTGGCGATTTGTGTTGGATGAGTGGTGTGCGATGCTGCGCTCGGAGATGGAGTGGCTAGACGGTGAGACTCATGGCAAGGCGCTCGCTGGTGTGAGCGCTCGGAGTAATGATGATGAACAACGGGAATAATAATTGCAAGTCAAGCTGAAAAGAGGCGAACTTGAAGCTTTATCATTAGCATCCAAAACTCAGCAGACAGACGGAGGCGTCCGGAACTGACGGATTGAATATACTCGCCTTCGCCGTGAGTATTATTTTAAGGTTTCTTTGGATAGCGGACTTAGTTTCCTCAGGCTCCCCAACCAGCATGGTGCCTGACGTAACAGGCCTCAGGGCTGATGATGTCATCTTGTTGCTATTGTCGACCCGCTGTCATTTTTCTTGGTTGTTTGGATGTTATAATATCTCTGATTTGGTCGGCGATCAACCTCCATTGGCAATGAGTCTAGAATGATATAACCTGACCTAGGATGAACACGGGGTTCATGGCTTGGGTGATGTATGTCTATCCTATCCCTGCCATGCTGTTGTCTTAGAATATACAGTGGAGGTAAGTAGTACCTTACTACTTAATGGCAGTACTGATTGACAATCATAGCAACTGAACATCTATAGGGCCATGAGCACCAAACAATTGCCTTGTTCATCTCTGTCACGGACTCACGGCACCGGATCTCAGGATACAGTTTGCATCCTGCAAAGTATGCCAAAGTCGAGACTTGAGACACTTGGGTTCCAGACCCACCCGGCTGATCATTAGCGATCCCAGCATGAGTATTTTATGCAAACAGTACGGACATAGCATTGAGTGGAGAAATATGCTTGAAAAAAGGATATAAAACATTTACTTGTGTTATCTTAGCATCCAGGCAAGGTGTCCGAGTGGTCTAAGGAGCACGGTTCAGGAACTGGCAATAAACTGATTCATCAGTTTCCGTGTCTCGAAAGGGGCGTGGGTTCGAATCCCACCCTTGTCATTTATTTTTTTGTGGTTTTTCTGTCTCATTCGAATGGGAAATAGTCTGGATCATTGGAGTCAAATTTGCCTTCCAAACTGGCCCCTGTTGTAGACTCAGTAGTTATAACTAGTTGTTGGGAATATCATTGACAGTCAGCGTCGGTGCAAAATCACGTGATAACATCCGCCACCCGTCAAGTTTTTCGTTTCTCCCGCTCACGATTTTTGTTTCTCCTACGGCGGCGGTTCGAATCTCGTCTCCTGCTTCCATTTACCAACCGCAGAAGAATTTTTTCTCAACTCTATGCTATGATACCTCGTTCATCCAGAACTCTACCGGCTGTCCTAGAACCATGGAGACAAGATGGCTCCCAGCTTACAAGACTTGATTGATCATCTTCTCGCGGAGATTGCGCTCTGTGGCGACCAAGGTGGGTTTGTCCTCTGGCGTCGTCGTACTTGTGTTTTTCCCACTTCTCCTGCATGTTGCTGCATCCGCACCAACTAGTTTAAGCATACTCAACCTTAGTGCCGTCTCCCATTCATCCAATAAGACTGCCCGTCATGTAGTTCATCTCTAGCTTCATCCTCACATGGTATCTTATTCACACCACTCACACTAACTAACATGCATAGGCGCATCTCCCGCGGATATCTTGACTTTCATCGACGCATTCTACTCCAGGGAAGCCCAAGAGACATCTGCACGGAGTCATACTGTGGATCGCCCATTCCAGGAAAAAGTCTGGTCTTGGTTGACAAGACACCCAGAGGTCTCAGTCGGCCGAGATCGAGAGAGCAATCACTTGCCCCTGAATGATGCTGAGCGACTCGTTCATGAGGCGGATCCTGACCATGCGGTTCGGGTTTTCGTCTCTAGGGAAAGGAGATGGCTAGCGGTGGCTGGTCATGAGCCGGATGAGACCAAAGTCCTTCCCTTGGAATTCGCACTTCTTTCCATCATTGCGTCCCATAAATCCAATGGAATCTTCCAAACAGATCTAGTGAGACTCAGTGGCCAGGATAAGCGTTCCGTCCCCAAGCGGACCGACATGCTACAACAGAAGGGGTACATTGAGAAAAGGGCGATACAGATCAAGTCCGTGCGGACCAGTCTGTGCGTGCTGCGAAGATTCTCCAAGTGCGACCTCTCTGGTGCAGGCACAGCGGCCGATCGGGAAGAGCGCCTTATCGACTTTAAGGACTTCAGCGACAAGCTCTTTGCCATCCTTCGGGAGTACAAGATTATTTCCCGCACCGACCTCAAGAGGGTTCTCGGGTTCGCCGATCCCTGGCGATGGAGAGTTCTCTCCCGAGCACTGCGCAAATTCGAACGTATCGGTGTGCTCAAGCGCGTTAGGGCGACGTCACAGTATGCGGATGATATGAAGAAGCTGCATCCCTGTGTGATGCTTATTCGCGAGCCGACGGAAAGGGACTATGAGCTATTCCATGAATATAGCGCAAGTATTTACACCAACCTCGAGCAGGAGGATGGGTTAGAGCTGGAAGACGGTTCAGGTGCAGCTGATGCCAGTGAAGATTTCTCCTCTGCGGGGATCCACAAAGCAGTTGGTATGGTCAAGCAAGAAGGGGATGTGGAGGAGGCTGGTCGAACGATTCCTGCTTGGTCTCCGGATCGCAACATACATAATCAGATATTCGACATTGTCGACCAAGCGGGAACCTCTGGCATTACCAACCAAGTGAGTTTGCAAATGGATAGCACAATGTGTGAGATGGCTCCTGTTGACCTTCTTTAGGATCTCCTCCGAGCTGGTTTCGGGAGCTTCTTCCGCAGACCACTGGAAAACACATTGGCCCGGTTAGTGGAATGCTGGCAGCTGTCGCAGCCCCTGCACCTGCGCCGTCTAGCCATTGTGCGAGACACGGCACTTGAAAAGACCATCACACATTATATTCATTACTCTACGGCGAACTTCCAAAAACTCGTTGATGCCGGAGAGGCATCGTGGGAAGCTGTCGAGTTTGTCCCCAGGGACACCAAGGCAGATAAAATTCGTGTACCGCCCGTCGATGCTGTTCCCGAACTGGATGAAAATGGATTGCCCAAAGCTGTCCCTACGAAGGATCTCGTCAAGAATGGCAATGCGTCGCTTCTGGCTGGCATCTTGGTAGTCAACCCAGCGGATTACAACTGCACTGGACATGATCCTACGCCGGTACGGCTGAAGGATGGTAGCTATAGTAAGTTTTGGCTCATGACAAGGAGTGAATCACCGATATTGATTCTCGATCAGTAATACGTTTCGGCGTGCCACGCATGAATCGAACCGGGCGTCCGAAGGGGACCCCGAACAAAGTAAAGCTCGAAGATGAACATCTGTCTGAGTTGGAAACAGTTCCCGAGCAAGACCCCGGGACTATCAGGCGCTTGAAGAAAGCACAACGCGACGCAGAGAGATTTCGAGGAATGTCTGAAAAAGAGAAACTCGAGGCGCTGGGACTGGACGAAACGTGGACTGAATACAGTGTCTTGCTCATTGAGCGCACAAAACCTGGTGTGTACATCACCCCTCGCGGACGACGCAGACCAGCGGGGAAACGACAAGGTCGTCCGAGAATCTCCCGCCTTGCAGTTTTCAAGTCTCCAAAACTAGCAACACTGCCTTGGTTCACTGAGAGCCAGGGAGGTGAACCAGAAGATGAGGCTGCTAGCACCATTCAACAAGTTTCTCGTGCCCAAAGTGTTGAACAGACCCCTGTTACCTCATTTACCGCGATCAATACCCCTGCAACGACTTCTTTAGCGCCAGACACTCCTTCGAGAGGTACGAAAAGAACGCTCCGAAGTCAGATTCACCTCGAGGCAGAACCTGAGCCGAATCATGAAAGACAGTCTAAACAGCGACGTCTTGAAGACACCGAGGTTTCTCAAGATGTTGCTGAGGCTGATGTCTCAATGTCTGAGGAACCATTGTCAGGTGGACAGAGGACTGGTGAGCCAGCCCCTTCTCGGGCCAACAAACGGAGAAGAGAAGCGTCTCCAATTCCTACCAAGGAAGATGGTGCAGTCCACAAGAGCATGCAAGGGCTAGACACTGAGGTGGCACAAGTTCCGCCAACAGCAGAAAAAAAGCAAGTCGCCCTGTCGCGGCCTCGTGAAATCTTAGAAACACCGTCCAAAAAGCCTCGATATGAACCTCAAGCTCCGCGAGTTGAAGAAACTGCCTCAACCCTTTCTCCGGCAGCCACGATGGAAAATGTCGCTGAGCAGCTTGCTCCAGCAGAGCCTCCCAAGGCCGAGAATGGAGAAGACCGCCCGGTTGACGCAGAAGCAATGGACACGCCATTGGAAGGCACAGCTCATGAGGACATGGCGGTGGATGAGGACGCCCCAGCTGCAACTGCCGAATCAGGCACTACTACTATTAACGTCCAAGAAGCCGATGCTATCGACCTCAAGCCCACTGACCAGACACAAGACGTTGAGCAGCGCGACGTATCGCAGACGCCAGAGGGGCAGAGACAGCGCACAAAGAGGCCAGACAAAGTCGGCTCTGTTGCGGTCTTACGTAGGAGCATCATCATGGATATTATTGAGAAAGCTGGAGGCGCGTACTCCATGGGTACCGAAATATGGTACCCATTTGCAACTGCATGGAAGAAGACCAGATACAAGGAAAAGCCCGACATGCGCACAATCAAGACATCTGTTAAACACATGATTGATGCAGGCAAACTTCGGCAGTTCACATTCAGCGGGAGGGACAGCAAAGGGGTAATGGTAACAAAGAGTATTATCGCCAAGCCTGAATTGCAGCCTGACGATCCGATAATCAAAGACTTGCAGCACGAGATGCTTACCACAACAGCCCGATACTACTTCCCACCCGGCGTTGAAGTGGATCCTGAAATGACAAAATCAGGTGCGAAAAGTGCAAAGAGTACGCCGAGCGGCGAACCCAAGGTGGTGAAACTCCCTATTGAGCGTGGGATTACCGTGCATTTACATCAAAAGCCAGCCTTTGTCCTGGCTCTGGAAAAGAGAAAGGGACAAAGCATTCAACGACGGCTACTGCAGCGCCTCCAGGCAGATACGGAGATTCGACGTCCCTCTGGAGTTGTTCGACTCGCCAAACTTCAGCGAGGGGCCGCACGGGATTCTCTGGAACGCGATCTGACGCCCATCTCCAGGGACCGAGAAAAGGGTCAGCGACGAAAACGTATCCTGAAGCATCGCACCCCAGCTGGAGAAGAAGGAGAAGAGGAAGCCCCCAGAGCTCCCCGCAGGTTGAAACGCCTCTGGATGCCTATTTCACTCATGGCACCTTATGCGATGCTCATGAATACAGTGCAGACGTTCCATTCAAGTACGGGCACCTTCTCGACAGAGGCCGGGCTCGTTGCGCTCCGAGCTGCGGCCGTTGCTCGTGCAAGAGCCGCCTTTCGATTCCCGAAATCTCTGGATGACCTGTTGGACCAGGTAAAAGGACGCCCAGTAGACTTCTCTGGGACCGTGGATCCCCGGACAAGCAAGTTCTTCTGGGAGACCGGTGGGATTTTGAGGTGGGAGCTCCAAAACGAAGAATTCATACTTGAAAGACGGGCAGAAGAAGGCCAGGAGTTTCCTTTTATCGATCAAACCTTTGAGGATTTTCCAGAGGAAGTCCCGATAGAAGGGGATATCCAGATTGAAATTGATCGGAGCGCCTATCCTAGGGTGCGCGTTCCGAGAATCAGGAAGATCAGAGAAGCAGCTCGCCGTTTGGAATTACTGGAACCTGAGAAACCTCCACCGGAAGAGGTAGAGGAATCGGAAGAGCCTTCGGAATCAGAAATTTCCTCTGACTCTGAAGATTCTGACGACTCGCTGGATGCAGTGGATCTGCTGTTCTCCGCTGACTCACGTAGACGGCGCAACAACTACGTCCCGCAAAACCGTCGCTTGGAGAAACTGAATTATTCACTAGCTGCGAAAGGACCCGAAGATGTCGTTGTGGCAAAAGCGCCAAACCGACCGTCTGCCCGCCGGAATCGAGCTCTTCAGCATCTGCCACGACTGATAGCCGAAAGGATTTTGACTGCGATCGTGGTCGTTAGGACATTAGCGGGCGGCTATGAAGGCAAGATCGTTGACTGGCAGCTAGTTTGCCAGAGTTTTCCCAACCAGGACCCGAAAATCATCCAAGAGCGGGGGAAGAATATTCTCAGCAGAAACCGACTGCATGTAGCGAAGATGCAGAGTGACTTTCAGGAACGGTTCATTGTGGCATACGCGAATGGCCAGGTGCCGCCGATCGATTATGAAGACTTGGAGGGATATGATTGGGAGAGGGTTGTCGACTGGGCACAGGCAGAGCTGGACATTCCCAAGTCCGAGAAGCTGCCGGATCTTCCTGCTACCAAGGAGCAGTTCGACAGCGTGTTTGAGCTGCGCGAGGAGGCGTCGGTCACGCTGGATGAACTCTATCAGAATACCCATGGAGTGACTGTGAACCGCAGACGTGCTCTCTACGCAGGCGTTCCTTTCGCCATCCCCTTGCCTGAGAAGCCGGCTCAACCTACAGCACGACAGGCCGAGCTTGCCCGGTTGCAAGTGGCCAAGACGTGGGTTCGAGCCAACATCGTCGCACCGGAGGAGTCGTACCGGCCCGCGGAGGCCCGGCAGGCCCTGGCCAATTTCGGAGGCAGACTTGTCGACGATGCGCTGCAGTCATTGACGACGGAGCGGGTAGTATCGCAGGGCAACAGAGGGCGCATTACACCGGGCCGCAACTACGACATCACCGAGTTCTTCCTCCACATGCTGGGCCGCAGGCGGAACATCGAGGTTACGCAGCTCCGGCGAGCCGCGCGGTTCAAAACCGGAACCTTGGATCCGGCACTGCAAAGCACAGGCTCGTTCGCCATCAACTACCACGCGGAAGACGGCGACATCCTCGCCCTGATCAACCTCGCCGCCGAGCGCAGAATCATCCTGAAACCGAAGGATCCCCCACGGGACAAATTCGGTCTTACAGACGGCGGCTATTTGACCAGACAAATGGATAAAGATAAGCTGCGCTTCGTCGTCGAGGTGCAACCCGTCGAGGGGTCGTATCCATACGGCAACCCGATCCGGGAGAAAGTCGCCAATACGCCCCCGCCGTGTCCGCCACGTGCCGCCATCACCGAAGGCGAATTCGTCCCGGAGAAGATTCCCCTGTGGTTTGATATCCATGGCAACTTTGTCAGAGTGCTCTGGGAGTTTGCCGTGGCGGCTGTCGTGGGGATCGTCGCGGCGCGCCCGGGGATCAGTGCCAAGGCGACTGCGAGCATGGTGCAACCGTCGATGGGAGCGTGGGAGGTGCTGCTCCTGTTCAGATGGATGGCGGATGTGGGGGTTCTACGAAGGGAGAACGAGTATGAAGAAGCCGTCGAGGAGACGACCGGATGGCAAGTTCAGGAATGGTGGTGGATGGTGTTGGCATGACTACCAACTACCTGACTCGCGGATCTGAGATGTAATAGTATCTAATTTCAAACAAAGCTCTGTGTAGTATACTGTCATGATAGCGAGCCGAACCTCGAATAAACATCACTCCGTGTATGCACCAATCAACCAAGAAAAACAAATCAATTATCCAAAATAGTTCCTTGGGACCAGCCCACCTAACAGAAAGGAAGACAGCCGCTAATACTCCTCTGACTTTGCCATCCGTCGTATGATCATAAACGCCAACGCGATGAGAACACCCAGGATGGCTCGATCGAGCCAGGGGGCATCCGAGGATGTGGATTGTGCGGTAGCAGGACGGGAAGTAGTCTGGACGGGGGTCGTGCGTGTCGGCGTAGGCGCAGGCGCAGACGACAGAGACGATACCTGCGGCGACGACGGCGCAGCATCCACCAAAGTCGTTGACGACGGGGCGCGCGATTCCTGCCGAGAAGAAGCCGTCTCTGCACCCGTATGCGCCGGTTCCGCTTCCAACGCAGCAGCAGCAGCACCATCACCCTGCCTGCTCTCGTCTGTAGCAGCACCCTCCTCCCGCGGACCCCCATTCTCATCCTCATCCTCAACAGCCACCCCCTTCGCCCGACAAACCTCCCTCCACTCGCCCAACACCTCCTCATTCGACCTCCCCCCCTCGCAAACATCACACACCCACCCCCGGCTCTCAGCCGCATACTGCCTCCTCACACCGTCGCCCACATCC